GTGGTCTCTGACAGCCAAAATGCTTTACAGTAGTCATAGAGGTTAAGGTCAGAAGAGATCATTAGATTGTCTAGTCTGACCTCCTAGATATCACAGCCCATCACATTTTGCCCGGCTACCCCTGTACTGAGCCCAGTAACTTGTGTTTGGCTCACACGTATCTTCCAGAAAGGCCTCCAGGTTTTAATCTGAAGACATCAGGAGTTGACAAATCCACCACTTGCCTTGGTAATTTGTTCCAGTGGTTCATCGCCGTTGGTACCGCCAGTGGCTGCACCTCAGCACGCTCAACAGTTCAAGAATGTAGCTGCTGGGTCAAATAACAAACGCCAGCAAAGGGAGAGGCACAGGCCAGGGCGGCAAGACGGGGAACCAACAGGCAGAGAAATATCCTGTTTTTACGTGAAGCATTTTGCAGTGATTAAAAAGCTCCAGGCCTCGCCTTGGAGAATGTACCGTCTGCAACAGACCACAGGGCAATGGAGCTCACAGCAGGGGAGGCGGAGAGGCAAAGGAGGGGTGCGTGTTACAACAACCAGAAATCATGGTATTGCAATTGGTTCTGGCACGCACTGAATGTGTTTGGGCACGTCTACACTAGAGCTGGAGGGGTCTGTCTACACTGGAGGGGGAGTTCTCAGCTTGAGCAGACCTACTTATGCTAGCTCTGATCCAGATAGTATGCTGAAAATAGGAGCGAAGCCGTGGTGGCACAAGCCCTGGGATGAGTACAATCCAGTCTGAAACCTTAGGTGTGTACCTGGGCGTGGCAAGCCCCTCCCTTTGCTCTGCTGCTGTTTTTAGCACACGAGCTGGATCAGAGCTAGTACCAGTATGTCTCCCTGAGCTGGAAAGTACACCCCTTCCCCAGTGTGGCTGCACCCTGGGAGCCAAAGCCATGGAAGGGCAAGTGGGGAGGGGCAGCTCGCTGTGGGGAGCAAGGGGAAAGGAGTGAGGGTTTACGGGAGGAGGTGCAGGAGAGAGAGTGAGGTGCACAGGCTCCTGGGGAAGGAAGCAGCCTGGTGTGAAGGGGAGCCTGAGGAGGAGACGGGCAGGAGCAGCAAGGTGGGACAAGCACAGGTGGCGAGGCAGGGGTCAGACCCCTGACCATGAGGAAAAGGGGTTTGAAGCTGATCGGGAGGCAGGGAAGGGAGGAGGTGCATAGAGCGGCAGGAGGGGGGGATGCAGGAGGGATTGAAATGGGGGAAGGCATGGAGGGAGCAGGAGTCCAGGGGAGAGAGAACCAGGGTGCTGGCAGTGGGAATGGTTGTGGGAACCATCTGGGGCGGGGAGCCTGGATGGGAGGAGAGAAGCAGGTGAGTGTGCGTTCAGGTATGTGCTGTGAGGAAGCAGTGCCCACTGGGGAGAGCACTCGCCTCCCAGCACACGCTGTGCTTACAGAGATCAGCAGGCAGAAAGTGGCCTGGCAACAGAGGGGTTCAGAGATGGCTTGTACCTGCTGCGTTCCTGACAGGGACTGTGAGAGACCACGAGGCCAGGTGCTCGCTTTCCTTGGCTGTCACTCCCTCCAGCTCAGGGGCCAGCTTAGGCACATGCCTCTAAAACGCTGCAGCACTGCATGATTGGAACATGGTGCCGGCTAGAGCTGAGAGGATGGTGGTTGTTGAAGAGGGCAGGCTACAGCACTTCAGAGCCCTGAGGCACGTCACAGGGGGGGTGTGTGTGTGCAGCATCTGTGGGGTTTGTCAGGTGTGGGTCAGGGCCATTCCTCCCTCCTTGTTGACTGGCCCCCCCGCCCAAAAGGGAAGCTCCAGCACTTGACGCATTTAACACTGGGCTGGCCAAAGCTCTGGAAACTGGTCTGTAGGGCTCAGTCCTGCCTTGGTCTCTGGGGCATGGACTAGATGGGACCTAATGGATCTCTTGCCATCCCTCGAGCCCGTGAGTGATGGTTGGTTGCAGCTTATGAATTCGGTTTGGTAGTGTGTATCTGCGTCAGACTTGGACTCCATTTGGGCCGTGGGCCTTGCTGCCTTTGCTGCTGCCCTGGTGTCTCCCCGCTGGGTTGGAATTCCAAGGGTAGGAGCATGAGGCTAGCAACAGAGGGTCGTTACATCGGGATGGCACTCTGTTCACATAGGAGCACCTGGGGCAGAGTTGGCTGCCACTCAGAAGAGCCAGTCTGCCCTGGTGGGCTGGTAACTAGGTAACGGATCATCTGGTGAGGGACTGGGCTCTCCTGATGAGGCTGATCCGGGGGCACCTGACAGAGGGGGCTGGAGGTTTTACAAAAGAAGGCCTCTCAGCTGCCATCTTAGAGAGAGAGAGAGGGAGAAGAGAGCAGAGACTGCATGTTCTGGAGGAGAAGCTGTGTGCAAGAGAAAAGGGGGTCCTGGGTGCCTTGCAGGGGCTTGGCCCAAGCCCAGAGAATGCTCCAGCGAGGTGAGGAACCTGAGTCAGAGAGATGCGTACAGGTGTGTTTATTATTGTGTCTAGCTCTGTGCATTGCTCGAGCTAAGTGATGATCAGCAGTGTGTAGAGTCCTGTGCATCCTCTGTGTGTCTGCCTGTTGCCTTCACTAGCTCATGCTTTTGAAGAGTTAAACTGTGAGCCCAGAGCATCCGCATGGTTGTAGTTCTGGGAGAATTTTAAGCTATGGGGAGTCCAGGATCCCTCTCCGGAGGCTTAAAGCACACAGGGCCCAGACAGGTGGGACCCAAACACAACAGTCTAGTGAGTGTCAAGCAGAGCACAGTCTGCCAGCGCTGTGTGTGTGTTTGACTCAATGTAGCCTGGCATCTCACCAGCTTCTGCCTTATAATTAACCAACATTGCATTAGCGGCCGATCCTGTGTGGTTCTCACACCTCCAACTCCATTACTGAACTCGCTTCTGCTGCAGTCAGTGAAAAAAAAATCCCATTGCCTTCAGAGTGGGATCAGGGCCCAAGCCGATGGGAGGGGAGGAAGTTCTGCATTTCATAGGACCAGTTCCGTGTAAAAGAGCTATACTCCGGGCACGTGGCATTGCTGGAGGGAGAGTTATTTTGTGGCATCTTTATACAATTCTGAGTAATTAAAGAATATCTACAAGGCAAGGTCTTCAGGGAGAGGAATTATTTAAGCTCAGTACCAATGTGGACACAAGAACAAATGGATATAAACTGGCCATTGGGAAGTTTAGACTTGAAATTAGACTAAGGTTTCTAACCATCAGAGGAGTGAAGTTCTGGAATAGCCTTCCAAGGGAAGCAGTGGGGGTAAAAGACCTATCTGGCTTCAAGATTAAACGCGATAAATTTATGGAGGAGATGGTATGATGGGATAACATGATTTTGGCAATTAATTGATCTTTGAATATTCATGGTAAATAGGCCCAATGGCCTGTGATGGGATGTTAGATGGGGTGGGATCTGAGTTACTACAGAGAATTTTTTCCTGCGTATCTGGCTGGTGAATCTTGCCCATATGCTCAGGGTTCAGCTGATCGCCATATTTGGGGTCGAGAAGGAATTTTCTTCCAGGGCAGATTGGAAGAGGCCCTGGAGGTTTTTCGCCTTCCTCTGCAGCATGGGGCATTGGTCACTTGCTGGAGGATTCTCTGCACCTTGAAGTCTTTAAACCATGATTTGAGGACTTCAATAGCTCAGACATAGGTGAGAGGTTTATCGCAGGAGTGGGTGAGTGAGATTCTGTGGCCTGCGTTGTGCAGGAGGTCAGACTAGATGATCATAATGGTCCCTTCTGACCTTAATATCTATGAATCTATGAATTGTTTATTGAAATATTTAAAAATACAAGTACAAACTATGGTCTGATACACAGTGTCTATCTAATCTATCCTGGTCTAATGACCTAGAGCCTACATTCCAAATCTGATTCCCTGACTGGAACTCTTTATATCAAGCTGAACTTCATAGACCAGATTTTTAAAGGAGCTTCTGCCCACTCTCTTTTTTAAATGTGTGTGTGAACCACACCTAAAGACTTTGCACTTGGATCCACTATTTTTGCAGGTGCAGTTTGCACTCAGAAGAAGGGAAGCTGTCCTTCCAAAAAAGGCTCCTGCATCTCTGTAATGGATCAAAATTCCAAATCCAAGCAATCCTGAATCTGCCAGGTTGAAACCACCATTTCCCATCTATTGGCTCAATGAACTTGTGTGTGTGTGTGTGTGTGTGTGTGATTGTTTTGGTTTGCAGAGAACAGTCATGTGTATTTAATATGTGATGTCCCTTCTGTCTGTAGTGCTGACTTATTAATTGCCAGACAATGAGCAATGGAACCCAGATGTTCCCGTTTGGTGGCCTCCCATCCTTCGTAAAGACTGTACCATGTGAGAAAAAGACAAGAGGAAGTGCCTTTTAAAATGTTTGCATTGCTGCGCACTTTACTTCCCTCGCCACAGACAGGCTTAGAGTCTCTCTCAAACGCTGGGCCCCCTCGTCACCCACATCTGAACTTGCAGCGTGGGGCACCAGCAAAGAAGTTCAGGCCAATGGGCTGGATGTGGGGAGAAGTCAGAAGAGAAGAGAGGCAGAAGAGGGCATTTCTTTCTCTCTCGGAGGGTGTATTAACCCCAGGGTTTTCCAGGCACTGCTCCCGCTCTGCCAGGCTCAGGAACTCACATCCGTGGCAGTGTAACATGAATACACTTGCAGTTCTAAGCGTTACCCTTAGGTTGCCACTCCACCGCAGACTGGTGCAGCCCGTGAGATTTAGGAACCTTCTGTAAGGATAATCCTTTGTATTTTGCAGCTTCTCTCCTGGGGAAACTCAGAGCACTTCACAAACATTAAGTAACGAATACCTTAATCGTCATGCAATGCCTCTGTGAGGCAGGTGAGAGCTATACCCATTTCTAAGGTTAGTTAAATGGATACTAGAAAGTGGCTTGACCAAGGCCACACGGGAACTCAGTGGCAGAGCTAGGAATAGAATCCAAGAGTTCCCTGCTCTGACCATTAGACCACACTGCCTCTTGTAATACTACACAACAGAGGGCTGGACTGGTGACTTTGTTTCCTTCCTGATCTTTAGTGATTGGACCCCACTGCTCTGGAATGCTCCAGGAGCCCTCAGAGGAACCGGTATTTGCCTGACCCAAGAGTATGTTGGGCTGCATGGAAGGTGAGTCACTAGCTTACTCACAGGTTTCACATTTGAAAAAAAAGAATCCATTATTTCAATAACCAGCAAATGAAATCTTGGCTTCCATGATCTCCCAAAAGTGTCAGCACTGCCGACCAATGATGGATGTAATTAAGACTTTAATAACATGTGCTAAGCTTCTGTGCTGCCTTCAGATAATTCCCCAGAGACTGTATACAGTCGATTGCATATGTCCCCACTAAGCACATTAAATCGACCGAGCGCTGCTGAATTCCACCTAAACTCGTAGCTCCCAAACAAGAGGCTGACCTGGGGGACTCTGTCATTTTTTAATTACTATCATTGCTAAATAAAAAGTAACTTTGTAACAGGCACAGGTTTACCGGGAAGTCACTCGGCTCCTGACTCTTCCCTTTGGCCAGGGGCTAAAGAACCATGTTTAAACCATGTGGTTTTAAAAGCGACAGCAGAAAGGGTGGTGTTAAGGGGCTGGCCTGGCGTTTAGGGGTCAATTCCCTGCTCTGCCACAGACTTTCTGTGTGACCTGTTCCTATTTGCAGTGTTCACGCCTCTAACCGTTATTAATTATTTCTTCACTACCCAGGTATCATCAGGACAAGCTTTACTGGAGACTACCGCAGGTTAGTCTGTGGGATGGCTTTATTGTTAGTAATAGGGGGGTTGTAATGGCTTGGGTTGCTGTGCGATCGGTTTTAAAGACATGTTGAGAACAGAGCGCATAAGGATTTGACCAACAAATAACCTCTTGTAAGGTTTCCACTTCATGTTTTTAAACAGGAAAGGAATATGATATCGATGCTCTTCGAATTATGATCTGATAAGTTCTCCTGGCAAGTTGTCACATTCTCCTGGCAAGTTGTCACATCCACTGTCTTTTTCTGACATTAAAATTTGAAACCTCTCTACACCATGGATTTAATCCTGAGACTCGCCCCCTGGGACGATGTCACTATTCGTTATTTCGTCCCTGCATCTCCTCTCAGCGGGTTTTCTCATAGATTCCTAGGACTCCATTTCACCCCGTGCATGTCACGTGGCTGAGCTGGGATTTCCCAGTGGCCCGTAGTTTGGGGGAGATGCTCTGGGGCTGGCTCAGTTGTCCGGCAGTATCTTGGAGAGTTTTGTGATCTAAGCACCACGGTGTTGGGAAAGTCGCTCTGACTGCAGGCTCCTAACATGGCGCCTATGTACTGCAGGGCCGTTACCAAGCACCAGACTGGTTCACAGGAACTAGAGTCCTGATGAGACCCTGCAAGGGGCACCAGGATTCCAAAGGAGCTGAGATTCACTAGGACCGACCCGATCGTCAGTGGCTGCGGCCTGGTTATCGGGCACGGCGTGATGCTCAGGAATCGGGAGGGGCCTGCACTTTCAGGCTGAGTGCCCACAGTCTCTGGGCCCCCACAGTGATTCCTCAGTCCCTTGTAGGGGGCAGGGTGGGATGTCTTGCTCATAACCTAGCAGATCCTGTGAGCCCAGTGGAGATAGAGACCCATCTGGGCAGCGGCCTTGCTCCTCCACGTTGGCTACCAGCCCCTCAGGACCCCTACAGATCCATGGCAGCAGGGAGCTCCCTCATGCTGACAAGGTCACAGAGGGGTCTCTGCACAGCCTGGGGAAGGCGGGTATGATGCTATGACAGTGTCACTCCCCGGCAGAAATCCACCGGGTTTTCATCTCCACTTGCAGCACGGCCAGCAGAGTCCATTGCTGGGGCTTGTCCTGTGGTTTGGTTCCTACTGCTCAGTCAGCTGAGGCCCACGTACCGGACAGAGGCGTACAGCGAGGGAGAGCGGAGTCCTGGAGCAGGTCAGAGGGACAGGCCTGCCCCACTGACACTGGACTTTGCACGAGTAGTGGGGCTGGCTGAATGTCCCTTGGCTGCTGGTTGCCGGCCTGGTGTGTGTGTGTGGGCAGGGGTGCGTGCACTAGGGCGTGTGCACGTCTCCTTCTCCGATGTCTTGGCTGCAGGCTCGATGAGCAAAACCCAGCTGCCTTCTGGCTGGGGAGCATCCACTGTGGAAATCGAGGAGGAGCTGACAATCCCTAAAGATTGGCTGCACATACGGCCAAGCAAGAGCTGCTGGCTCCCAGCCTAATTCACTGCAAATGTTCTTCAAATGTGGTTCTAATTTGTACCTCCCTCCCCTCCCTTGGCTCTGGGAGAGGGCTGCAGTCGCCAGTGTGCTGTCAGACTGCAGGGCGGCCTCACATTTCAGCTGACGGGGGATGGTGTGTGGACCAGGACCAATAAATCCTCAGTGCTCACACAGCTCAAACCGGTGACCTGTGGGCCATCTCCAGACAGGAAATGACAGCTCCTACTGCATGCTGCTTGTTACCAGAAGGACAGGGCACCTCTAAGCATGTGTCCTGATTTGAACATCCACAGGGCCCAAGCCTGTGAGACTTTGAGCCCCCTCAACTCTTATCAGCTCCCTTGAGCGTATCAGGGCCTTTCATGGTAAACTCTTTGTGGCAGGCTGTAAAGATCCTAGTGGACTGCTGGTGCTATTCAAATAATGGCCAGCTCTAATTCTAGCTCAGACATGAGGCATACTCTTCCCATGATTTTGTCCTTTATTTGCATGACTAGTAGGGTGAACACAGGACTGGGAGCCAGGAGCTGCAGAGTTCTTATTGTGCTTAATTGCTCTGTGCCTCAGTTTCCCCTCCTGTAGAATGGGACTGAAGACCTCTAACCACTTTGCATTATGCCAGTCGGGCACAGCCCGTTCTGCCTCCCATAGCTCCCAGGCAGGTTGGTGGGTGGAGGCTGCACCTTCCTGGGTGCAGCTGATTCTCCTTCCCCTGCTGTGTGTCGAGCTAGCCACGCTGGTCGGTTCAATGGGGGGCTGAGGCTGGAACCCTTTCCCTGCCTGCTCTCTGCTCCCTTTGGGGCACTGTGAGCCCCCAGGCGAGCAGGGCTGGGGCAGCCCCTGCGTTCCCCGGAGCCTGATGCTAGCTTATGGCATACTAGTGGGGAGGGGGGTTCCTGATCCCTCTCACTACACTGACCCAGGCAGGATGTGCCCTGAATGGGCCCAGGCCAGGCAGGGCATTCTTCTCATCCCCATTTCAGAGATGGGAAAACCAAGGTGCATAGAGGGGCATGATGTACCCAAGCGAATCAGTGCCAAAGCTGGGATGCAGCCTGCTCTGGTGACTGGTTTCAGCCAGGGCCTCTAGGCACTACCATCATGTAACTAATAGTCTCTTGCATCCCAGTCCTGAGCTCTAAGCGCTTCCAGCCCCCGTTTCCGTCCACCTGGCCTTGGCTAAATGTAAGTATTGCACCGTGTTCACTGTTAAAGCTCAGCAGACTTGTCTGAGGTGGCGTCATGAATTAGTGTCCCCTGTGCTTCAGAGCGCCTGGCCTGCAACGTGCTGCTTCTCTGTGCTCTGGGGCAGGAGGGGTGTGTGTCAGGGACAAGCAAACAGCACAGAGGCCTCTTGAATACTCTGACCATGATCTAGGTGACTCAAAGGGATGTAGCGTGAGATAATTGAATAATGGTGATATGGGGGAGAATTCAGGGTCCGTGTCCCTTGTGCTCACGCCCTACACGTGTGGAGGCAGGCTACCTATTTACAGCTCACTAGGCAGCAAGGTAAAAGATGGCGCTGAACTGGCAGAAGGCTGCTTCTTGTTTTGCAAACATACTCTCTTCTCCTGCGCCGGTGCAGTGCTTTGATTCTGCATTTAAAGGAGTGAAAAATCATTTCCACTGGGTGGGCTGGCTATCTATCTATCTATCTATCTATCTATCTATCTATCTATCTATCTATCTATCTATCTATCTATCTATCTATCTATCTATCTATCTAAAGCGCAGTTTGTGAGGCTCTGCCATGAGACAATGCAGACTGTCACAATAACGGGGGAGATACAGGGTCGCAATGTATGTGATGACACCTGACTCCTTAATTCACACAGCCAAATGCACAAGGTGTTGTGGTTTGCTGGTTTCTGTGATCTTTAGCAGCAAGGTTGGGCAGAGTAACTCAGATAGAACAGAGCCTCCCCTTTTCTGCAGAACTATTCAAACCAAAATCTTAGATTAGACCTATCTGGGGAGCTGGAGAAGTCTGGGGAGCTTTTCCCCAGTGTGGTCTGCGTAGCGCTGGGTGGCTTGGGACCTAGCTACCCCTGAAGCAGAAAGCTGGAGTCAGCTGGACCGCTCAGCTCTGAACAGCTCGTGGTGTTGGGGCAGAGGCAGTGAGTGCCTTTGTCGAGGGACTTCTCCTGCACTGTTACCCTGAAGGTGCTGATGTCCCAAGTTGGGTGGTTTGAATGGGCTGAGCGGCCGCTCCCTGGTTTGTGCTTCGGTCAGAGTGGCTAAGCTTCCAGCTGGAAGGTGTTGAAACTGGAGTCCAGGGGCTGTAATGGGCACATGAGATGAACACACTTGGGCACCCCCTTTGCACACTTGTGTTGAGGTCTGTGCTCCAGGAGAGACGCTTCTCACGCTATTTCCAACCCAACTGGAAGCAGCAAGGGCCAGATCTCTGGTGCGGTTTCCAGCCCAGATTTGCTGTCTCAGGAGGTTCGGATACAGAGTCAAGCCTTATCCAAGTGAACTGACCCGAGCAGATGATCACAGGTTTTGGGGTGCAGGTAGCCACTGCCTGAGGGGCCCTGGGCTTCAGAGGGCCCTACAAATAAATTTTCATTTAAAACACAAAATAGCAGCCTGTAGCCTTTTTGCCTTGAGAGCACCTTGGAAATGGCAGGCCACGTAAGCCCACCGCTGGCCCCGCCTGCTCGCAGCAAGGATTTGCCTGCGGCTCACAAGCCAAGTGCTCGGACACGAGGGTGCTGCTCCTGGTATAAATACCTGGGTGGCTAGATCGAGATGGCGACGCCCAGGGAGCCAGCCACCTCACCCAGGGCTGGCCTTAGGAGCGGACGGACCCGGCTACCGGATCTGGGGGGACTCCAGATGAATTTGCAGCTGCAGGAGCTTCGGCCAAAGATGCTGAGGATGCCACGTTCTCCCGGCCCACGGGCTGCGTGGCCTCCGACCACCAGCAAGGGTGGCCCAGCAGCGTGCCTCAGTCCAGGCAACAGGCAAAGCGCAGAGCAGGGAGGATGGGGCTCCTGTGCTCTGATCTCCTCCGACAAGAGACTGCCGCACACGCGTCACTCGCTACCTGAGGCTTGTCAGGGAGAGGGCCGGGGCGGCTCCAGCCTCTTCCTGCTGGGGAGGCTGAGGTGGGCTTGACAGAAAATCGGGGGGGAGCTGTGCCCCCCCCTTGCCACAAGGCCCCGCGTCTCTCTGTGGTCCCGCTCCCTGCTCCTCCTCAGTTAAGTGCTGGCCCCTCCTCCTTCCCTGAGGCCCCGCCCCCTGGGCAGGTCGGAGCTGGAGCTGGGCAATATGGGGCGGCTGCTGGGCTGGCTGGTGCCGTGGTGCGGGCGGCTGCGGCTCTCCCATCTCCTCCTTTCGCTGCTGCTGGTGCCCGGGGCCGCAGTTGCTCCTCAGTTCCCCATCGCCCTTCGACGGCTCACAGCCCATAAGAGCCGCCCAGGCCAGGGGACCCGGCTCTGGGGCTGGCAGAGCGCTCAGGGAGCAGTGACCGCGGGGCTGGGGCCCAGGAGCCAGGGCCAGAGGGAGTCCGT